TTCAAGCAGTCTTCTATGCTTAAAGGGGTATAGAAAAAAGTTGAAAATAACTGAGGGTTTATCTTATTGAGAGTGAAATTAAACGGGGAACCACTGTAATTACTTTCAATTCTTATTAAAGTTTTTTTTATACATTTCTGGATTCTTTATAATATTTTTGATAGCTCCATATATTAATAAACATTTTTTACAAAATTTTTATAATTCATTAATTTTATTTTTTAAATACTATCTATGAATATAAATTTTGTTAATACTTTAATTCTTTTATTATATAAATCAAGATAAAATTAACATTAATTAAAATATATAGCATTGATAAAGATGATTTTATAAGTATAAAAAATAGAAAGAGAAAAAAAATGTAATAACTAGAAGGATTTATTTTATTCTTAAAATCAAAATTAAAGGATTCTTATATTCTTATCTTTTTAAAACAGTTGTTATTAGAGTTTTACTTCTTATTTATCAATATTCATTAATAATCATATGATCATTAAATATAGTACTTTTATTTCAGGAGAGATAAACATTATTTAATATTTTTAAAAATAGAATTCTTATTTATCATATTTTAAGAAATCTATCTCAAAATCCATCATATCTTATTTATGATTTATTTTTATTTAATAGTAGTATTTTTTGTAAGCTATATGTATATAACACCAAAAACTGTAAATATATTTACATCGAAGCTAAGCTAAATAAAATTGATTGCTCAGCTTCAGATTTTCCTTCACTAAAGTTTATCAGGCCATAGGTACACTTATTCTTAGTACCTTTTACAGTGTCTAGATGTTTTGCTGGAACAATACTTATTATCAGCTACTGAAGATATAAAAAAAACAACTACTTCAAAATAATTCAGTAATACTTACATACAACAATGAACTTATGGCAGCGACAGTGGTTACATCAAACATTTTGGTATTATCATACAGTAGACTTGTAAAATAGCTGTACAATACAGCTAAAATTTTTTTGGTAAAGTGTTCCCTGATCATGTCTGAATGATAGAATTCTTTTAACAGCAAGATATCTTCAATGGCTCTAATAAATAAAGCATTTACGATTATGAGTATATGTAATACAAAATTATCACTTCGTCAACAGTGTTGCCTAGCCATACATACAGAATTTCGTGGACATCACTTTCCAAACACACTCCTTCATTGTTACTTGCGATCTCTCCTGCTTCTCTTTGGTACGAATAAAATATATCTACAAGCGTGATATTGTGTGCCTTCTTGTTTGGCGACTCCTGCTGATAGATACACAAAAAAAGTTAAATTCATTTTTAACCGTAACAATATAACATCTCTTTTTTTTTATACATAACAAATAAATACCTCTGGTTCTTCATCACTTCTTCTCTTTCGATTCTGCAGTTAAAAAAACAATATTGTGTCAATGAAACTTGTATGTCACTCAAGGTTGGTTAGAAACATATCATACGAAACAATTACTAATTACTTATGCTATTGCTACTACTATTACTACTACTGCTTTCTGCTATCACTACTTGTACTGCCTAGGCTCCTTGAATTGTACGATCGTACTAAATATATTACTCTCTCTTGCTGCAAGTTTTACAGTTCTACCTGTATATATTATTGTTAGATGTGTCTTAAGATAATTGCAGATAAATTTTAAATTCTAATCTTTGAAACTTATTAAATAGTAAAAATTGAATATTTTTAATAATATTGAAAATGTTTACTGAGCCTTATATAAATTTAAAAAAAATATTTAATAATGAGGATACAGCATTATTATATTTGATAAATAATAATTATATTAATAAATATAAGGAATGTTCATATTGTAATAAGAAAACAAAATTATATTTAAATATGAAAATTTATGCATGTAGAAATTATAAATGTAGGAAAGCATTTTCACCTTTAAAAGGAACAATATTTCAAAAATAAAGCTTCCTCTGGATTTACAATTACATATATTATATTAAAAATGCTATATAGTAGTATTGCTGCAACTTTACAAATTAATAGAAATACTGTAACATTATATCATAAATTATTTAGGAAGTATTTAAAAGATAGATTACATTTTAATAAAAACAGAAAAATAGGAGGTCAGAATTAAATTGTTGAAATAGATGAATCAAAAATTGCAAAAAGAAAAAATAATAAAGGTTATAAAGTTGAAGGTGCTTGGGTTATTGGAGGCATTGAATGAAAGTCTTTTAAAAAATAAAAGAAAAATAAAAATAAAAAAATTATTTTTAGCTTATATAAAAAAAGGGATATTATTGGTATTGACAAAAGTATTGTAAAATATGTTAGAAAAGGAACAACAATATATACAGATGAATAGAGAGGCTTTAATAATTTAAAAAATATAGGATATAAACATAAAACTATAGATCATGAAAAATATTTCAAAGATCTAATAACACAAGTTCATACAAATACAATAGAAGGAATATGGAATGGATTAAATAAAGTATTAATCCAAGAAATAGAAATAAGAATGATATGCTATTATATTTAAGGGAATATTAATGGAGAAAATATAATAGAGAATATAATATTTGGAAACAATTTTTAAAAGATTTAAATATAAAATTTTTTTACCAACAGAAAAGACGATTGTTATCAGGATCATGAAACATAGGACTTATTACTGGATCTAAATAATTAGTGATGAGCTCGGTTTCCTTGACAATGTAATTCTCTTCAGTCTTGGATAATTTGGTGACACTGATGTTGATTTTAGTTAATAGATAATGCTTTTTTCATAAGTGGTATGGCATATGTGATTTACATAATGATGACTAGTTGATGAGTATTTGAAGGATGGGAATATTGTGATCTTGAGTACGTTCCATTATGTTGGCTAATTGGATGATAGCCTTGGTACGACTCATTTCCTTGTCACCCTCTTTTAATTGCTATAAATTGAAGATGCAGTAAGCATCTCCTTCTCTCTCTCTCATTTCTCATTTTATCCTCGACTTACTTCAACAATATCTTTGATTTGTTGAATAAGCTTATATCAAATTCAATGCTTCGATCAAAGTATTTGTTTTTGAAATGTGTATAAATTGTATCCAGTATATCAATGCCAAATAACTCGATTATATCATCATCACTGGTATCAGGACAAAGTAACATGACGTGATACAATGACCTATAGTCAATTTCAATAATAAGCTTAGATGCATTCTTTGTTAACTATTTGTTTCTTCTAAAATAATACTTACATTACTTTTTGAGGGTGGGGGATACATGTAAGCTATGTTTGCTTGCAATATCCAATGACTTCATTTTATATCGATGCCAACGATCAGTTATGTTGAATCCAGCTGGCAGATATTGGTGAACTTCAGGAATCAATCCTATTGTTAACGGGGCTGGTATTGTAGTGGTTGAATTTCGTCGGGATCCTCTTTGACTACCAAGTGCATCTTCATCTTCGTCGTCGCTATCATCACTGTTGTCGTTATTATCACCACCCTCATCTTCCATATCTTGGTTTTCAGTAGTAATTGTTGTTGGTGGTGCTGTGGGAGCAGGAGTGGAGCTGGTACCCTATGATAGCAGTTTTAATGTATATGATATATTGATCTAAATGATTTTGACAACACTATTGATTCACCTACAACAATAAACAATAACAGCTCTTCTCTACTAATTCGATCAAATATTTTGGAAAACACTATTCATCATCATCAAACAAAAAAACGCAGACTTGAACCATCACTTCAACCTTCTACTGGATATGACTTGTCACTGAATGCTAACTCAATGATGTCTTGTTATATCGATGCATTTGTGGAAATGATTTGGCATTGTCTTTTACCACGTATCAACCCAACTCCTTTTGATTCAACCAACATATTTGATAATATACTTATAACATTTGAAATGACACATACTCTACGTCGACGTAATGCATCTAATCAAATGAGATCTTTTATTTATCAAAATATGCCAAATTTCAAAAGAGGTCAAATGCACGACACTTGTGAAATCGCCATCCAATTCATCGACCAATGTTCGCAACAGTTCAAGGATCTTTTTATCATCAGACAACAACGTATCAATGAGTGCCCTTATAATCAAAAGCATATTTGTTTTATGGATACTTCGACAGATCCATATTCAACATTCAGCTATGTAATCGAGCCAAATCCAACTAGTTTGATTGCAGCAAAGGTTTTAAAAGGGTCTCCAGAAAATTTCACCGAATATTTTGAAAAGCATCTACTGAGACTCAATATGGACAAACGTTGTTTCTTTTGTCAAAAGCCAGCAACTACATATTATCTACCAACACATCACCTCCATCCTTTTCTTTTCTTCCGTGATAACACGTTTTTACTCCCTGAAGAAGAAGGTAATATTCCATTTCCATATGATATGCAATTGCTATTAAACAACAATTATCGACTTATTGCCATGATATCATCAACGGAAAGACTTGGCTATCATTTCAAAACGACAGCTGTAATTGAAACACCAAATGGACCGTTTATTGCTAGTATGGATAACATGAAAAGACCAGGAGTAAAGGTTCTTAGTGAAAAACTGGAAGAATTCAAAGGCATTTTCGCCAAAATCACCTATCCAGTACTTGCTTGTTACCAGAAAATATAAACTATATTGAAATCTTATATAAAGAAATAAACATATGTGTTATAACAATATTATATATATATATATGTGAGTGTGTATGTGTGTGCATTATGCAAAATTTTTTTGTATTTATAAGATGTAAAATATACAATGTGTTAACATGAAGGTGAGATGTGTCATGGTGCACATTTTTTTATTGCTTTATCCTCATAGTGCACCAGTAATGGTGCACTATTAGCTAGTGTGACTCGTTTTTTAGGTGCACGATGGGGCGGATGCAAAAAAGTAGTGCACGATTTTTCATCGCCCTCTAATTAGAGGCACCAGAGAACGATCAACAACCTTTTCCTTCCCTCCCATCAACTTTTTGTTAATCGATCACTTTCAATTTCTGTCATCATGACGTTCAATTTTACTTCTTACATTCGAGATCATGCAGGTCCTTCTTTTGATATTGTTGGCTGCTTTCGAGCATCGAAATTGACAGACCAGGAAGCAGCAGAAAAAGAATTCAAGAAAGCCGTTAAGACTGTTTCATATTGGAAAACAAGCGCAGCTCAATCGTGGGCATTAGAACAAGTTCGTAACAAGTTCCTTGTAAGTTCTCTAAATTAGAAGACAAAAACGTAGAGGTCAACAAGTTCTTACATACTTTTATACTATTAGATCTTGAGTAATGTTGATTTGCAGTCATATTGGGTTGGAACGACTAAAAGCGTTGCGATCTTGAAAGGAAAAAGAACATATTATGAATTCTGTGGAGAAGCATCTGGGTCAGTATGTAACCATTTCATTATTGTTTTCAAAATTATAAATGTTTTTATTTTACTAATTCAGACTACATTTTCTAGTTGTCAAACGTTCGCGAGGAATCACCCCTCATGTATCTACGACCCGAGGATAAAGCCTCTAATTCTGCTTGTTAGAATATGTCTTTAAATGAATAATGAATACTTGTTTGGAAAGTTAGAAACTAACGTGTAATTAACTTTTCTTTATTAGTGTCTTCTCAGAATACTGAACAACTTGAAGAGGAAAAAGGCGATGCTCTAGTAAGAAGATGTGATCTCCTCCATATTTAAATATACTTTACAGTGGACCCCCGCTTTTTTCAAGGCTGCCATTCCTGAGCACTCTTGAAAATAAAGCGGGTTTGAATTTCATCGGGGAAGGGTAGCGGCAGCAATCTTCCGGATAAACGTTTAAAATTTAGCTAAAACTTTCTCACTACTGTACAGTACTGTTTCTAAATCCATACTGCCACATGCTTTTTTCCTTTATATTATATGGAATATATATTTTCTACAATTACCTGACACACAGCTCTACTTGTTTAAGATTTTGATAAACATATAATGACTTCCCTAGTTTCTCTTGAGATCCGATCTTATCAATTACTTGCTCCGATAAATAAAGAAAAAACGAATAACAGCCGCGAGAAGCCAGCAAACTCACTTCTGAAACAACACCATTCACTACTTGAGATCAGTCTTATCTGCTTTTTAGAGGAAGGCTCCCTCAAAGAAAGGCTTAGACAAGTGAGAGACCACTTGCGCCGACAGCAAATAAATGGGACACAGAGCACCTTAACCTCTTTTTTTAGAGCATAACAATAGGCATACATGGTCATAAACGTAGATATACACCTCAAATTCGCAAATTGTATTAAAAATATTCATACATCTTTATATGAATACCATCCACATGATGTAGCAAAATCTAGATACTTCACCCCCATATAGAGTTTAAGGGTAAAAGATATATTGAAAATGAAAAATAACGAGGTATTGAAAAATTTATTAATGATTTTGGGTCATTCCCTGGAAATTTCTTGAAAAAGCCCGGGTATTGAAACGAACGGGGTTGAAAAATTCGGGGGTCCACTGTATTTTTATTATCTATTATTAACTTCTTGTTCTATTATTATCTTAGATCTCTGACAGCGAAACCAACGATGGCTCTTTCAACCCTGATAGCCAAAGTGAATGTTCATCAGAAACTTCAAAAATCCGTCGAAAACAAAAATTTGCCTATGATTACTTGGTTGGTGGTGGTTTGGAACAATATGATCGCCCATCTAATTGCAAAAAGGTTGGTATACTTCTATCCTCTCTCTCGAAAAAACCATGAGATTTATTTCGTGCTAACCTACCTCTGTTAAATAGTGGATCAGTTCGGATATGGATTTGGTAGATGAATTCTTAAAGTATCGGTCAGATGTCGTGAAAGAGGCAAAGGAGCTCGAATTGTTATCAATAGTTGATAGATTGTAAGTCTGTGTGTGTTAATTCAGCATGTACAAATCGACTATTAAAAGACCCTGAATAGCTAATATGATGTGATTGTGTTTAGGGCACTTAACTTTATCTGCTACATTACACCATCGTCAGCGATTGGAAATAAAATGGATC